GATGAGTGAAAATGAAGTGTCAGTGAACCATCAAACTCATTTTGAAACTATTATCTTAAAATAGGATGCTTTAAGGGTTTTAATATTACTGATATTATTATAGAAGCTACAACATATTTCAACTTAGATTCAAGATTCAAGAATCTAACTTAGATCTCAAACTTAGATCTTAAAGGAAGCTGGAGTTGATCAAGCAACAAACATGGTAAAAAAGGATGGGTTGAAAAGATCTTGAAATCTCAGCACTGTGTATATCATAGTGTGAATAAGAGGATTTCTTATTACATGCTGACATTCACTTAGTCAGTTCTGCCTTCACAGGACATTGTGAATGTGCTAAGACAGAATGTGATATTCTGTGTACTGATAGAATGTAATGGTACTTACAGCCATGCAGTATGACAGTAATTGCACAAATCCTAATATAAAATGAAAATAAAAAGTGGCTTTCTGTTACTTGATACACTCGGCATAAGTATCATTATGAGTTAGAGGTTCAAAACAGATGTCAAAATCGAAATGATAATTTATGACAAGGATCTCCATTACACCAAGATCCACCAGTAGTTGTATAATTAAAGTTAATAATCCCTTATTCTCATCATGTAATAAAAAACTGATCACTTTCTGAGTTAGCATGCAACCCGATCTAAGCATAAGAATATTAACAATGGATATTATTTGCATAATCTAAACAGAATAGTCTAATCGTTATTAACAGCAATATTGATTCATCAAGACCTTTCTGCAATTTTTCAGTTGGTTCAGTTTTAAGTCACGGCAGTAACTTCCATTTAAGGCACAAGATAGAAGGAGGATATTCAGGCAGCTGTCTACAAAGTAGGATTTTAATTAGTCCAATACTTTGGAAATACAATAAAGATTTTATAGGATTAACTAATTGTCTTTGTAGGATATGACTTGTTAATAGGTGACTCTCCCTGCTCATTTTCCACTTGTTTTCATGAATCATCAGTCAGCCCATGCAAGGAAACATAAAGGATGGATGTGTTTTGGTGGGTCTGAGTCACTACTTTAATTCATAACATCAGCTCCAGCGCTTGAAATCTAAATTCAGCATTTAGGGAAGTTAAAAGCTTTCTGGTGGATTTTAATGACAACTTTGATCCCATACTTGAAACTGTCAGTAACATATGAAGCCCAGGAAACACAGATTGTACTGTATATAAAGATGCATATCCACTTCCTACTATGTAGAAATTAGTCCAAATGGCCCAGATATGAATGCTGCCATCTTTCATATTTGTAGCCAGAGTTGGTGCAGCAGCAATCACTTTATCTCAATGACAGAAACCATATTTGAGAAAAAAAACAAAACTGACATACTTTATTAACATAATTTACTTTTTGTTTGGTCCATATCCCATCCACTAACATGGTGGAAGTGGGATTTATGGCCTATAATGCAGCCAGGGGGTGATTCATGTAGAATCTTTGGCTTCACTTTTGGGGAGCAATCATGTTGTCCATCTTTATATACAGTATATGCTGGAAACCAATTAGTTTAGCTGAGCAAAAAGTGTGGGGAACAAGAGGAAATGCCAGCTTGTTAAAATTGTAACTTTTTAATTTTAATTTTAACACTTGCATGTTGCAGCTGAATACCTCCCACCTCAACCTCCCCTTCCAACATATCCTTCACTTGAAATCAAAACTCAAAGGTGGTTTAGTTTGTCCAGTTTGGGCTACTGTAAAAAGGACCTGATGTAAATATAAAGCATTAAAATATAAAGGGCCCATTCTAGGGTAAAGAAAACAACAATTTAGATGAAACACACCAGTGAAAACATCACTAGGATTGGTTTATATTTAATATCTGCCAATAGATCCATTTCACTTGAATATTACACCCTGGACCCTTATTTATTGGACTTGTAGGCACATTTTCTCCCAAAATTGTGAGAAAATCATATGAACACTGGAGCAAATTCGATGACATTTCTTGGATAATAATTTCTGGGTCTCGATTGTGCTTTGGAAACAGAGTAACATGACAATGACTGTAATCTGAGTTGTGTCCTCAAGGTGTGACGGTGTGTGAATCACCGACAATAACCTTCCCCCAGCACCTCTGGGTTTTAACTCAAACAAACCAATTAGACCAGCACATGCAAATGCCAGTCAACTTCATAATACAATGAAACTCTTTTAAGGTCATGACATTTGACGACTTCTGCAGAATGGTGGACAAAGTGAAGCTTTCTCCAGAGCTTTCAGGAGACAGGAAGCACAGTGCTTCTGTCGCTATGCTTGTTCATTGACATCCACTGTTGGTTCTTAATTCATGTTAGTATGAAAGAAGACTAAGAGATTAGTGTAGGAGGATGACAAGGGTGTGGATGAGTGTGATGACTGCAGTGAATTACACAATTATAAATTTGGTTCATTATGCTCTCAAAAAAATCACTTCAGAGGGAGTCCACAGAGCTCAGGAGTTCAAATGATGAAGCAGCTCCTTGTTGGGAAACAGTTACAAAATGACATGAACATGGATCCAGTCACTCTAGCAAAAATTTAAATATCCTTTATTCAGATGAATATTCAAAGTGAAATTCTTTTTTGTGTTTGTTACAACATAAATTATTTAAAGGCACTTTAAATAGTAAGGTTACAAGATTAAAGAGACAACCAACAGTTCCCATAATGAGCAAGCAATTTTTTTGGTTTACTCCAAAAGATCCGAATTGATTATTGTTATTTATATTATCAATACCTTCACACACACACACACACACACACATAGAGAAGCAGCTAC